TTAACGTTCGCTTTACCTAAAACAAGTATGAAACTAGAAGGACTTTGTAGGTGTGATAGGATAAGTTTGCAAGATAATAAAGAGCATGTAAATAAAAAGTAGGGGCTGTTTAGATGAAGACACAACTAAGTTAGTTTTAGTAGAGAGATTTTTGTCACGAGAAAGTTATTTGTCCCTAGGCAATCGATAAGTAGACCGGTAATCACAATTGTAATTTTATTTGAGGGAGAGGCATAAGCTAACATACTTTCTCTTCTTGGATCATATGCACTTATGATTGGAACTCTAGCAAGCATCCGCAACTACTAAAGATCATTAAGGTAAAACCCAACCATAACATTAAAGCATCAAGTCCTCTTTATCCCATACACAACAACCCCCTTACTCGGGTTTATGCTTCTGTCACTCAAGCAACCCACTATAGGCGAATCATGAACGTATTGCAACACCCTACAACGGGAATCCATAATGCTTGCGCAACACGGAGAGCACCATAGGACAACACCAATAATAAAACATGCAACTCAAACCAATCACGATCATCAATTAACCCATAGGACAAAATAGATCTACTCAAACATCATAGGATAGCCATACATCATTGGGAAATAATATATGGCATTGATCACCATGTTTAAGTAGAGATAATAGCGGGTAAAAGAGGAGTTACACCGCTGCATAGAGGGGGGAAGAGTTGGTGATGAGGGCGGTGAAGTTGTTGGTGTAGATCGCGGTGATGATGATGGCCCCGGCGGCGTTCCAGCGCCACCGGAAGCAAGGGGGGAGAGCCTCCCTTCTTCTTCTTCCTTGACCTTCTCCCTAGATGGGAGAGGGGTTTCCCCTCTGGTCCATGGTCTCCATGGCGTGGGAGGGGTGAGAGCCCCTCCGAGATTGGATCTGTCTCTCTGTCTCTCTCTGTTTCTGCGTTCCAGATTCTGGCCTTTCATCATTTCTTATATTTCCGGAGATCCGTAACTCCGATTGGGCTTAAATGTTAACACGATCTCTATCCGGATATTAGCTTTCTTGCGGCGAAGGAAGGGCATCAACCGCCTTACGGGGTGGCCACGAGGGCCCATTGCACGCCTGCCCCCTGGGGCGTGATACGTCTCCAACGTATCTATAATTTTTGATTGTTCCATGCTATTATATTACCCGTTTTGGATGTTTATGGGCTTTACTTTACACTTTTATATCATTTTTGGGACTAACCTACTAACCGGAGGCCCAACCCGAATTGTTGTTTTTTCCTATTTCAGTGTTTCGAAGAAAAGGAATATCAAACGGAGTCCAAACGGAATGAAACCTTCGGGAGCGATCTATTTGGAACAAGCGTGATCCAGGGGACTTGGAGTGGACGTCAAACAACAACCAAGGCGGCCACAAGGGTGCCCGGCGTGCCCCCACCCTCGTGGGCCCCTCGAACGTCCACCGACCTACTTCTTCCTCCTATATATACTCTTGTACCCTAAAAACATCAGAAGGGACCACGAAAACCTAACTCCACCACCGCGGCCTTTTGTATCCGCGAAATCCCATCTTGGAGCCTTTGCTGGCGCTCCACCGAAGGGGGAATCAACCACGGAGGGCCTCTACATCATCTCCAAGGCCTCTCCTATGAGTTGTGAGTAGTTTACCACAGACCTTCGGGTCCATAGTTATTAGCTAGATGGCTTCTTCTCTCTCTTTGATTCTCAATACAAAGTTCTCCTTGATCTTCTTGGAGATCTATTCGATGTAACTCTTTTTGCGTGTGTTTGTCGAGAACCGATGAATTGTTGGTTTATGATCAAGTTTATCTATGAGAAATATTTGAATCTCCTCTGAATCTTTTATGTGTGATTAAGTTATCTTTGCAAGTCTCTTCGAATTATCAGTTTGGTTTGGCCTACTAGATTGATCTTTCTTGCAATGGGAGAAGTGCTTAGCTTTGGGTTCAATCTTGCGGTGTCCTTTCCCAGTGACAGCAGGGGCAGCAAGGCACGTATTGTATTATTGCCATCGAGGATAAAAAGATGGAGTTTATATCATATTGCATGAGTTTATCCCTCTACATCATGTCGTCTTTCTTAATGCGTTACTCTGTTCTTCATGAACTTAATACTCTAGATGCAGGCAGGAGTCGATCGATGTGTGGAGTAATAGTAGTAGATGCAGAATCGTTTCGATCTACTTGGCACAGACGTGATGCCTATATACATGATCATGCCTAGATAATCTCATAACTATGTGCTTTTCTATCAATTGCTCAACAGTAATTTGTTCACCTATCGTAATACTTATGCTATCTTGAGAGAAGCCACTAGTGAAACCTATGGCCCCCGGGTTTATCTTTTATCATATAAGTTTTTCCATCTACTTTTATTTGCATCTTTACTTTTCCATCTATATCATAAAAATACCAAAAATATTTATCTTATCATATTATCTCTATCAGTTCTCACTTTCGCAAGTGGCCGTGAAGGGATTGACAACCCCTTTATTGCGTTGGTTACGAGGTTCTTGTTTGTTTTGTAGGTGCGTGTGACTTTTGAGGAGCCTCCTACTGGTTTGATACCTTGGTTCTCAAAAACTGAGGAAAATACTTATGCTACTTTGTTGCATCACCCTTTCCTCTTCAAGGAAAACCAATGCAAGCTCAAGACGTAGCAACAAGGATTTCTAGCGCCGTTGCCGGGGAGGTCTTCGCTCAAGTCAAGACATACCAAGTACCCATCACAAACTCATCTCCCTTGCATTACATTATTTGCCATTTGCCTCTCGTTTTCCTCTCTCCCACTTCACCCTTGTCGTTTTATTCACCTTCCCTTTCCCAGTCTCCTCTCTCTTTTGCTTGCCTTTTTGTTTGCTTGTGTGTTGGATTGCTTGTCACGATGGCACAAGATAATACGAAATTGTGTGACTTTTTTAATACTAATAATAATGATTTCCTTAGCACTCCGATTGCTCCTCTTTATGATGTTGAGTGTTGTGAAATCAATGCTGCTTTGTTGAATCTTGTTATGAAAGATCAATTCTCCGGCCTTCCTAGTGAAGATGCCGCTACTCATCTAAACAACTTTATTGATTTGTGTGATATGCAAAAGAAGAAAGATACGGATAATGATATTGTTAAGTTGAAGTTATTTCCGTTTTCACTTAGATATCGTGCTAAAACCTGGTTTTCGTCTTTGCCTAAGAATAATATTGAGTCATGGAATAAGTGCAAAGATGATTTTATCTCTAAGTATTTTCCTCCCGCTAAGATCATCTCTCTTAAGAACGATATTATGAATTTTAAACAACTTGATCATGAGCATGTTGCCCAATATTGAGAAAGAATGAAATTAATGATTCGCAATTGCCCTACTCATGGTTGAACTTATGGATGATCGTACAAATTTTTTATGCCAGATTGAATTTTGCTTCTAGAAATCTTTTAGATTCGGTCGCGGGAGGCACTTTTATGGAAATCACCTTAGGAGAAGCTACTAAACTCCTTGATAACATTATGGCTAATTATTCTCAATGACACACTGAAAGATCTACTAGTAAAAAAGTGCATGCTACAGAAGAAATTAATGTTTTGAGTGGAAAGATGGATGAACTTATGAAATTGTTTGCTACTAAGAGTGCTCTTATTGTTCCTAATGATATGCATTTGTCTACTTTGATTGAAAATAATAATGAATCTATGAATGTGAATTTTGTTGGTAGGAATAATTTTGGTAACAATGCTTATAAAGGAAACTTTAATCCTAGACCGTTCCCTAGTAATTTCTCTAATAATTATGGAAATTCCTACAACAACTCTTATGGAAATTTTAATAAGATGTCCTCTAATTTTGAGAATAGCGCTAAAGAATTTATGATCTCTCAAAGAAACAAATTTAAAAAAGCGGACAATTTTTTAAAGCATGAACATTTTTTTCGAATCTTGGGAACAAATTTTGAAACGGAGAACAAATTTGAAAGCGCAAACAATTTCTTAAAGCACGAATACTTTTTGAATATTGAGCACACATTTTGAGACGAAGAGCAAATTTGAAATATCCAGAACAAATTTGGAAGCGCGAACATTGTTTGAAAACGTGATTTTTTTTAAATCTGGTACATTATATTCGAAATTTTTTGGGTAACGAGAACAAATTTTGAATTTTGGGAACATTTTTTTTGAAAACTGAACATTTTATGGAAACACAAACAAAATTTGAATATTTTTATAAAGAAGAGGAGAAAAGAAAATGAAATAACAAACCAAAGAAAGAAAACAAATAGAAAAACAAAAAAAAAGAAATAACTAAAAACGAAAAGAAGAAGAAAAATTCGAAAAATCAAAAAGAACATTTTCTAAAAGAAAGAACATTTTTCGAAAATTAACAAATCTGAATATGTACTTAGTATAAAAAGATAAAATAACATTGAAAAAAATAACACGAAAACAAAAACGAAAAAAAAAGAAAAGAAAGAAGAAATTAGAAAATGAAACAGGAAAGAAAAAAAAAGAAAAAAGAAAAAAAGAAAACCGGTTTAGGGAACCTTCTAGAAAAACCCAGAAAAAACCGGCTGGGAAACTCTAGAAGGTTCCCAAAACCGGAAACACTGGAACACTAGAACACGTTAAATGGGCCGGCGCAAGGGTAGCGCTCCATCGCTGGCTCTGTGCGATGCGTCGACTGTTTGACGCAACGAGCGTCCAATAGGAAATTCCGGTCCGGTCGACTCGGTGAGCATTCTAATCTGACGCACTACCAACAAATTCGGCCCAGCCCACTAACTAACCCGAAAGCCCATCAACCGTCTGAATCAGTTGCTAGTTAGGCCGAAAAATCAGCCGAACGCATGCAACCCGGTGGCGACGGACGGAGCCCTGAGTGGCCTCCTTCACCGACCCACGAAGGAGAACAGCTCCACGCGACAGAGAGACAGCAACTGCCCGACCGCACTCTTCCACCTCCCGCCCACGCCCAGATCTCCCGGAGCTTCCCAGAGAGCAGCCCCGACCCCACTCAAGGTCAGACATGGCGGCCTTCACCAAGCTCGAGGACTCCCCCATGTTCCGCAAGCAGGTGCTTCCCTTATCTCCCTGCCCGCGAGGCGTACACGATCATCGGGGTCCCTCCGGGTTAGCAGTTTTGGGATCCCGTGGATTGAAGAGATCTCCGGTTTGTTCCGTGTTTTGCTTGGCCTGCTTGGTGGGCTCGCATCAGGCGCATGGTGGGTTTTGAGCTGTATTTAGAGTTTTGATGGTCGTAATGACAGAGCTGGGGCGGATTTGGGGATTCGGCACCATTTTGTGTCGCGAGATCTCGACTTGATCGTGTGCTTTCCTGGTTGTCGGTCGGTTTTGATTGGAAATGCGAGAGCTCTTTGAGTGGTTGGAATTTTTCTCGATAAAATTCCGTGTTGGATTGGATTGGACGAATCGAGTAGGTTGGTGCTGATTTGGCCTCATGAGTGGCTCACATTGTGTCTGCTAACCGGGTAGGTCTCTGCGTTCCTGTTACCTTTTGGCTTTTGTGGTGCCGATAGTGATTAGTTGGAGGGCTGACGGCTGAGGCTTTTCTGGTTGCAGTGGCGCCTTCTTGTTTTTAGATCAATTTTGCTGCTTGCCGCACACTTGGAACACAATGGTTAGATCATGTAAGGACGAACCTGCCACTTGTGGATTCAGTGAATTGGGAAGCTTGCTGGCCAAATTCTGAATCCGGCCATTCAGTCCGTGAAATTTGCTAGTTTTGTTGCCACCTTTTTAATTACAATGATCTGTTTCACCTTTTAAATATGTTATTTACTGTTAGTGCTAAAATAAATAAATAAATTATTTGAGCATATCCAAAATGTAGCACTGTTACTGTTTTGTAAAGAGTAAATGTTATTCTTTTGCTTAAATGTTACATTGGAAATGTTGATAAAATGTGCACTATATAACTACTACTATTTGATAAACAAAAAGCCACTGCACCTAAAGGCATAACAACTAGATGATACCCCGCGCGTTGCTGTGGAAATATCAGTAAGCAATTTGGCATGGATATAGGAATTTTTTTCTCAAAAATGAATAGATGAGCATTGTGCAAATACAAATACATATTTCCAGTCAAGATAATCTTGGGTTTTTCCCTGCAAAAGAAAAAAGTTAATCATGTGCTATACAGAACCAAATTGAATATATAGTTTCTTACGAAAGAGCAACAATCCTTATTGTGCGACGAAACCATGTAATTAATTAAATTGCAAGAAAAGGACTACTATAGCTAAGGATTTTTTTTTTTGGTGAAAATGCTTGAGCAAGTTTGCAATATTGATGGTCACTTCTGGCCCGGCCTAAAAAATGTTGCCAAATATAACATAAGAGTTGTTTACCTAAAAAGGGAAGAGATAGAGTTGTTAGTCTTCTGAAGTAAATCATGAAAGAACACAAAATTGGCAAACTTAGTGAACAGCAAGCAACTTGAAAATTAAATAAATCAGTTTGATACATAAATCATGAAAGAACACAAAATTGGCAAACTTAAGTGAATAGCAAACAACTTGAAAATTAAATAAATCAGTTTGATACATACATCATGTTAAAGCACAATTAGGGTTTAGAGTGTCATATCACCAACACTAAAATACATCCATGCTGCAAATCCAGTTTATGAGACCTCAATATGTTAATGAGCAATCTAAGGAAGAGGGGTTTGAGGAAAGGCTTAAGACTGGCATACCAGAAGGTGGAACTGGAGTACACTGTATATTGAACAAAAAGGTAGAGATGTCCCCTTGATCTGAAATAACGATTCAAATAAATGAATGGTCAGAATGCTTCAATTCCTATCCTACCAATATGTGGTAAAGACATAATATCGATAAGTCTCATGCATGAAGAGCTACAGAAACTACATAAGAAAATAATGTAAAGGTCAGAAGAACATACACCTTCATCTTGCACCATGACTTATAGTACAAAATATTTCAAATTCTTTTGCCTTTATAAAATAAAAAAAGGTTACAAAAAGTCAGTATTTATGAGAACAAATCATGAAAAACCACATCTTCAGCTTCAACATGGGATTATGTCAGAGTTGCACTGGCACATTCTACTTTACATCTGCTTTCAATGATCAAGGCAATTCAGTAAGAAAGTTCGGAAAATACTATGACCGTGAACTGCCTTTTGTGGGTTCAAAGTATACCTGGCCATACCTCGGGCCGGGCTGGGCTTCGGTCGGGCCTAGCCAAGCCCGATGAAAAAAACCTAGGCCCGAGCCCGGCCCGGCCATCGGGCCTGTTTTCTGGGCCCGAGCCCGGCCCGAACACGTAAAAGCCCGTCGGGCTCCGGGCCGGCCCGGCCCGACCTTCAGAGAAATGCAAAAACGACGGGCCCGGGCCCGGCCTTCGGGCTCAAAATCTAAGCCTGAGCCCGGCCCGGGGGCAGCGTCGGGCCGGGCCGGGTCGGCCAGGCCGGGCTTCCCATGGCCAGGTATAGTTCAAACACAATATCCAATAAACATTAATTATCCTATTGTAGTCAAATACCAGGAAAACGTATGAGAAACTGACGATATAAGTAATATTATGAACTCTACTAAACTTTTATACACAAAATTTGTTGACCAAAAAATACATTTGGTGTAGAGGTTGTGGATGACATCATTCTCTGAGTGCTACTGTTAGTAGCATTTTCTAAAAGGACATGGTACAACCATTTGCATAACAAAACTCGGATGCAGTATCTAATCTCTATTATCTCTGTCAAGAAACCATAAATATTCGATTGCTGGCATGGCAGCACGACCTCATTAATCTGCACAAAGATTCAGTTTGAGGTAAAACAAAAGGGTACCAATTGGACGTGCATAGTTAAAGAATACGAAAGAAGAATAAAGGTTAAGATTAGTAATCGATCTAAGAGAACACGGTAGAATTAATTAAAAAACTGCATTTTTTTAGACGAACTGGCATGTTTGTACAGATTACCTGACGGGCGTTGGCTGTTCATATGGGGACCTATAGATGAATCGGCTTTTGTGGATACATGACTTGACGAACATATATCCACGCAACCTGACAGAGTCATCGATACGGCGGATGTGATCGCCGGGGCTGGGGGTTGGAGGACTGCTAGTGCCTGTGAAGATGGATGAAGGTCTATCATCAACAGGCCTCACCATCAATCAACTAATCCACCCGTGTGAGACGGCCATGCCTACTCGTGTGTGTGTGCCATCGTGCAGCCTCGACAGTAGAGTAAGACATGGTCTCGTCATGCATCTGCGCAAGGGTAGGCGTTGGACGGCATGGGAAGGAACATGTGGTCCGCCCATACAGCGCCATCCCACGCCAGAGTAAAGCCACGGCCGGAGCAATCCTATTCCTCCATCAGCCGTGTCCTCGCCATGAAGAAAATCAAATTGAAAATAGAAAGAAAACAATACGGCAAGAAGAACTCATTAGGGAATCATTTGGGTAGGAAGCGGGAGCACCATTGAAACTTACCTATCTAAGAACTCCGGGGGGCTGTCCAGCCAAGCACAAAGACATATCCATTGGCTACCAGGCGAGTGAGCGGCTGGCCTGTGGCTGTTGTCGACCGCTGCTACCGCGGTGCGAATGGGGTGGTTGCGCCGCTAAGCACCCGCCGGCGAGAGTACATAACGACGTGGAGAGATGAAGATGAAGGGATCGAGAGAGGAGCGGAATGCGTCTGTTAGTGGATTTTTATTGTTTGGGAATCGTGAGTAACCGTGCTCCATGGAAGAGAAAAAACAGTAGGCTCGCTCGTCAATCACGGAAGGCGAAAGCGATAGCTTCCGTGACCAGGCGACGATACACGAGAAAGAAAGGAATATATTGCATCACATGATTTTGATTGGTTGGTACCTGATGATGGCATGCTGAGTTGGACCATTTGCATGTTAAGAGAATACCTTGTAGTGGGGAGCAACTTCTTAAGAATGGTAGATACCACTGTAAGACAATAATGCGTAACTCACTTTACTTTTGCAACAATACAAAGCACAGTCGTCTTATAATATAGTGTAGGCTGTTTTGGTGTCATTTAATCGTTTAAACTCACAAAAAATCGCTTGGTGCTCATTACAGTTTTCAGTTTGTGTAGACAGTGTTTGGTCCCTGTTATGGCCTGGGCCCCATTTTGACCCCGTACTTTCAGTATAATAGACTAGTCCTGTTACACATCAAATTGGGTCATCAGTGGCGCACATTGACGTGGTGGGACAAATAGACATTGACATGGCTGCTAACTCATACAGGGATTAGCTGCCTGCCCACACGAAATTACCATCTGTTCACGTCAACCCAGTTCGTTCCAGGGCCCCCAAAATGAGCCTTGGGGTAAAGGAGGGAAAAATGTGCACTGTGCCCTTGCGGGGACGTTGGTGCTCTGAATTTTTGGAACACATTGTTGGACCAGCATGACCAATTGAAAATTTGACATATTGAACTGACATATAGGCTTCATCTGTAAATGAGAAGGCCCTTGGTTGCAGTTCTTCGGATTTTATATGTATTCCATGACTAACCTTACTCAAGATTGATTTCTGTTGTAATTTAGCAATGAAAGAAATCCAAAGATTATTCTCTAAATGGCTGTTATGCGGGCATAATGATTATTTCACAGAAATAGTAGTGATCTTGACACATGACTGTTTGGACACTGGTCTCAATAATTTCCCTTTAACTTCTCTCTCTTTTTTGGCCAACAGACCTTTCTTTCCAGTTTAAAGTGTAATTGAACTTATACATGCATTTAAGTTGTTTCTGACTTATTTCAATTGATTCATAGGTCAATTCTTTGGAACAAATTACCGATGAACTGAAACAGCGGTGTTCAAACCTTCATAAAGGATGCAAAAAATTCATGTACATTTCTCTCCTAACTCCTGTTCCTTAGCTGTAAACATTTGTTGTGGAAACGTAAAACAACTTGGCAGCACGCGCAGCGTTGCGGATGCTATAGATACATAGTACTGTATGGATTTCTTATATAGTATTATTTATTTCATGTAATACATTAATTCTTTTCACTACCTAAGTTTATTTGAAGGCAAGTAAATATTAAGTTTCTGTGGCCTTAGATTAGATGTGGTACTGATTTGTGTTGTGTAATAATAGAGAAACTATGGAACTCACTAGTCTTCTGCACGATATTAATCCTAATGTTAACCAAGGTTCACATAACAAACCATGCTATGTACGTGGATCAAGGCCCTACGGCCAGCATACACAATCAAGGCAGGGATTCTGTTAGGAAAGAAGAAAATAAAAATAGGAAAGTGATACATTCAGTTAGGAATATAAAGATAGAGAGGTGCTTTGTTAGGAAATTAGAGACAGAGTTAGAGGTTCATGGATCAAACTAGTCTTCTTATATATAAAGGACTAGCAAGTGACCTTTCGAGACTATTTCATTGCATGCCCCAAAAGGTTACACACTAGTCCTATATGTATATGTGATGGCTGACTAGATCATTAAGACTCAAACTTATCTCCTAAGAAAGCTTATTTGTATCTGTAAATTTCTAATTGAAGTTATATCTTTTCTAACCCTATAATATCCTATCTGTACTTAATTCTTAAACCAGTCCCTGCGTCCATAACATATGAACCCTCCTTAGGGCATACAACCTCACTGGAATGCTGAAGCTAGTTATAAGCGTTTTTACAGGAAAGCAAATTATTAACTTGGTCCTGTATTATTGTGTTATGGTCCAATATTAATTTGGATCTCTATAGCATATATTCTATGGATGCCTGTGAATGATAATTTTACATACTCCTTTTCTTGCTGCTTCTAGCTATTTTTACTATTATATTGCATGCAACTATGCCATTTTGTAATTTTGAGGATTAAAAGAATAATAAACCTTTTGGTTGATGTTCAAGCTTGTTATAGTTTGGCTAATATCCTTAGTTTCAGGGGATCTCTTGATGAAGGATACGCAGGGGATCTTTTATTTGCTGACGCCCTAGAAGCTTTTGGTGCTGGTCGAGATGACCCTGTTAGTGTTGCCATTGGAGGTTATTTCACAAAAATATCTGATGTTTCGTTTGCTTAATTTTGTCCTGGTTTCTCATCTATACTTACTGAAGCCATTATCCTTCTCAATTGAATATCTTGTGCCCCTTTATTTTTGTTAAATCTTGGTTCTTAATATGCCCACATTTGCTTAATAGACCACAGTTCTTTGCAACAGTTGACATGATTTGCACCATGCCATCTCACTGGAACTAGATTATGCGAGTTTCTTCAGTAAAATACGATTCCATGTAACCGTTTAGATTTGGGAGAAACCTGAACTTCCAAATTCCTTATTATGTTGCAGGGCCTGTAATGTCCAAGTTCACTACTGCTTTTAGGGAGCTTGGAACGTACAAGGAGCTCCTTCGTTCCCAGGTACTACCTATCATGTATCCTTGGCCTCTACCTTTCTTGGTAGTTTACTTCACCCGTGAGAATAATTTAGTACTCCCTCTGTAAACTAATATAAGACGTTTTGAGTTTTGAGTTTGAAGAACAGGCGTGGCGCAGTAGTGAAGTACTCCCCACTTGTGCCAAGAGGTCCTGGGTTCGACGCAGCCTCTCTGCATTGCACTGTGCAGGGGCAAGGTTTGCCTCGTATAATCCTTCCCCAGACCCCACCTTGTGTGGGAGCTTCTAGCACTGGGTCTGTCCTTTTAAGTTTTGAGGTTGCACGCCTTGAATTTATCCCTTGCGAGTAATGGCATGAGCTATCCCATTTCAATTTATAGCATTTGCATCAGCAGTACCTGTGCTTTCATTCTTCTATTTTCAGATTCTAACCCGCAGTTTGGAACTACGGCAATTTGACACTGTAGCTTCAATATTTAGGCTGTAGCGTAGTGAGTATATTTTACCACCTACAAATTGGATTAGTGGTAAGTTTCAGTACATGTGGAGCAGATTGAAAGTGGAGGTGGTCAAATGTTACACTTTTAACATAAAGGCGTGAATTCGCAAAACCATAAAATTGCAATTATGAGCCATGCATACCCCAATTTGAGAAGGCTTGTACATCCTTAGGGCATCTCCAGCCGTTCGGCCCCCCAGCGCGCCTAAATAGAGCGGCCTGGGGGCATGCCGGCGCTAGTTCGGCCCCTGGGGGCGACCTAGCTCCCAGTCACGCCCCCACGCGCCGGCCCCAGGATGCGGGAAATTTAAACTTGGTCGTTCCCGCTCTCAAAAGACGCCGCAAATCCGGCTATCGGACGTAGTCTGGCGTTACAAAAAACAGAGCGCCGCCGCCGCAAGTTCGCGTGCGCAACGATTCACTCGGCGGGGTCGGCTCCAGGTGTTGGCGGAGTCGGCGTGCGCGGGCTCGTCGGTGTCGGAGCTGCTTCGGTGCTGGGCTGCGTCGGCGCGGCTTCGGCACTGCTGGGCGGCGATGTAGAGGCGTCGTTCGGGCTTGGCGTCCGTGTGGTCGTGGGCGTCGTCGGCGTTGCCGTCGGCAGCTCGTTCAGGATGAGGCCGCGCTGCACCAGGTACCACGCCTTGAGCTTCTCGTCGTTGCTCTGGAGCATGTCCGCCCCGCCCATCAGAAAAGCCATGTCGGTGTTCCTCTTCTTCGCGGCGACGTTCGTCCGGAGCAGGTCGAGCTTGATGGCGTTGTTCTTCATTAGCGACGACCACCGCGCCTCGGTCTTCTCTCGTGTAGGACGGCCCGGGCCTGGGCGTCGGCGAGGCAATGCTCGATGGACTCCTGCACTCGCGCGGTTGCCGCGTCGGCGCTTTTCCCCTTCTTTGCCAATTTGTGGCCGTCCGGCCGCCCCTCTGACGCGCCCGGAGTCGTCGCGTCCGGCTTGTATGTCTCCTTGGCCTTGTCGAGGGCACGTCGGACTTCCGCCCACTTCTCGCACTTGTCAATGCGCTTGTAGACGTGGAGGTGCTCGAAGTCGGCGTCTTGGTTGTTGCCCCGATACATGGCGAACATACGCAGCAGCTGCGTGGAGGGACGAACAGTTGGCGGGCGGCGGGCGTAGGGGACGAAGATATGCGGGCGAACGGCGTGCGTACCTGATCCTCAACGCTGGCGCCGCTCTCCGGGCGAGCCGCGACCTCCTCGACGATTCCATGCCATTTGTTGCACGCCAACTAGATACGCCCCCAATGGTTCGCCATCGCCTTGGAGCCGCGCTGCATGTAGACGCCTTTGAAGTAGGGGTCGACGAGCTTCCGCTCGTCGAACTTGGCCTTGATGCGGTCCCAGTACGTCTCCAAGCTCTGGTTCGCGCCGGTGGTCGGGTCGAGGCAGACGACTTTCCATGCTTCGGCGAGGCATTCCTCCTCCTTGGACGTCCACTTGATGCGCGGTTCGCCTGACCTAGCCGCCCGCTTCTTCTTCTTCTGGCGCCCCTTCGTCGGAACAGGAGCCGACTCCTCCTCCTCCTCCTCCTCCTCCTCGTCCTCCTCCTCCTCGGGTTCCTGCGCGTCGTCGCCGTAGACGTAGCCGAGCTCGGCCTCCATGTCGCCGCTGAGGTCCACTACCTCGTCCTGGGTGGCGAACCCGGGAGACGCGGCGGCCGCGGTCGATCCTGTCGCGATGATGTCGTCCATGTCGGCTCCCGTGTCGTCGGCGTCGCCGAGGTGCGAGAAGGGTAGCGGTCCGCGATAGAGATGGGGCGTCGGTGTGGACGCGTAGGCGGTGGGCGGCGAGTAGTTGTATGGAGGGTACTGCACGCCGACGAAGGCGGGCGAGGGCGTGCGCGTAGCGGGGTGACCATGAGGGAAGGTCACGTTTGGGTTGAACCCACCGTGCGCGTCGCCGTTGGCGTAGCCGGGCGACGATGAACCCCATGGAGATCCGGCGCCTTGCTGTCCCCAGGGCGCGTACTGGGCGTGGCTGACGACGGGTGGATTCATCCCCGCCTGGTCGACCGATGAGGAAGACGCCGCCGTGCGCGCCGCGTTGTCGCGGGCCTTCTTGGCTATGGCCCTGTTCCGCCTGTCGGCGGTGACTGCTTCGCGCCGCTGAACTTCCACCCTCCACTCGGCGTTCGACAGGTCCGGTGGCTTCGATGGCGGCGCCCTCGGCTTCCTCTGCTTCGGCTGGGCCACGGCGCCAGTCGCGGTTGCCGCCGCGCGCGGCATGGCGTACTTCGGCGGCATGGCGTACTTCTTCGCGGCGAGCGGGAGGGGGTTTGGCGGGAGAAAGGGAGAGAATGGCGGGAGGAAGGCGAGCGAGCGGGAGAGCTGCGAGGGAAAAGCGTCAAGAAACGGCAGGAAAAGGCCCTCGGGTCGCCTCCAGGGCGGGCCCACGCGCCTTTTTCGCTTGTGCCGGCTCCCCAAGCGCCCCCCAGGGCGCCGGGTTCGGCCTGGGTCCGCCGGCACCAGTTTTGGCCCGAGCCGGCGAAAAACGGGCTTCTGGGGGCGCGACTGGGGCCTTTTTTTGGCGCCGGCGCGGCAAAATCGCCTGGGGAGGGCCTGTTGGGGGCGCGGCTGGAGATGCCCTTATATTGCAAGAATCAGAACTGATAGGAAGGAAATGCCAAAGTAGTCTTTGAATCAGACCTCTTGTTCATTATGTTTTGAATGTTAAGTGTCATACTCCAGTCTAGGGTCTGTGTATTCCTTGAGTCTTGTAATAGATGCCCTTTGGGCCTTATATTGATACAACAAATCTCTGCTCTTCCAGTCAGAAGGTTCTCCATTATTTTCCGAAATGCAGAAATTATCTTATTGGATATGAACAAATTAACCAATCAGTAAATTTTAGAGCACCCCTGGTTGTATGGTTGTAATTGCAGGTCAGACTTGCTGAACCTAACAGCTAAACGGTGAAGTTTGACCAAAAAATCATCCAGACACATTTGTTATCAACTATATACTTTAAACTAGTGTATGTATAAGTTCTAAGGAATCCTTTTGGAATGACAATTATACATCAGTGCAAGTGCTCTGTTGTTTCTAACTAAGCCACTAGGGACTTTACACAGCTGGAAAAAACTGTTAAGAATGGAAAACATTTTGATATACTTGCTTGACTACACCGGCATATATCCAGAACCTGAATCATGTGTTGAAAGAGGATATTTATGTGTTATGTAATGAGGTCTCCATTTGGGATCACAGAATCTGTATGTACAGATTCCTGGAAAGCTGGCACATTTCATTTGGTTATGGTGTATGACGTTCTGTTCCTTTTTCCTAGTAAAATATCATTACAAGTGACTGTAACATTCTAATCAGTCTGTCCCTTCAAACAGGTCGAGCATATGCTTAGTGAACGGTTGACGCAATTCATTAACGAGGATCTGCATGATGCAAAGGTGACCCCCCCCCCTCGCGCGCACACACACACGTCTTAATAAGTTTTATGCTTGTTGGCCCAAACTTAATTAAGTAAACTGAAATGGTCTTGAAATTAATTTCACACTTATAATTGATGCTCTCTTAACTACACTTGGCCTACTGTGTTGATTTCGATGTGGAGAATTTTTAACACATTGGTTAGTTACTATTTGCGCTAACATTTGGCCCAATATATAGGATTGTCGACAGCGTTTGGATAGGGCTACAATGGGCTATGATCAGGTAGTGTCTTGACTTCTACTATGTCATTATCTATTTTTGTTGTTTATTTCTTCACGTTGGCCTGTGGTGCACCATGAATAAATGAATGATTTGACCTTTTTCTGAATACCATGTGGTTTTAATATTTTGTTTTTATACATATGGCCTACTAATTCCTATTGCTATCTTGCTTCTCAGGCCCGTGAAAAATTTGTGTCAGTGCGGAAAGGGACTAGAGCAGAAGTAGTGACAGGACTTGAGGAGGTAAACTGTGACAGCTTTTTCGTAATGGATGTTTTTCAGTGTGCACGCCACCTTCCTAATCCCGTCTTTACAGGATCTACACAACGGCAAGTCAGCTTTCGAGAGATGCCGCTTTAACTTAGTATGTATCACCATTTTTTTCTCCATATAGCATTGTTATGTATATTATGTAACCATGCCAATGATTCTCCTGCAATGTAAGGAATTCAGGTTCATGCCCTTGCAAACATTGAAGCAAAGAAGAAGTATGAGTTCTTGGAATCAATAAGCGCAGTGATGGATGCCCATCTAAGATATTTTAAGCAGGCATGGATAGTCTCTACAGTTTAAGCTATCTTTGTTATATTATTGGTTGAAACCTTTTTGATTTTTTTCTTTGTTCTAGGGATTTGAGCTACTGAGCCAAATGGAACCGTTCATTCACCAGGTTTAATAATTGCTCCTTTGGCATATTGGTTTTGACCGATAATTATGATAACGAGGAGTGCGTTGACCTTAACTTATCGATGAATCTGCTAACTGCAATGTCTTAATGCAGGTTCTAACATATGCACAGCAATCAAAAGAAATGGCTATGAACGAGCAAGATAAACTTGCAAAGAGAATTCAAGAGTTCAGAACTCAAGAAGAAATTTCAAACTTGAGAATGGCTAGTAATGTAAACACATCTACGAGTGGTGATGGCATCCATGTTGTTGGTCTTCAATCCTATAAAAAGATTGAAGCCTTGATGCAGTCAACTGCCAATGGCCAGGTAGTTAATTGTCCATCGTTGAGTAAAAAAAACAACCAACAACAACAACGAAGCCTTTAGTCCCAAACAAGTTGTGGTAGGCCCATTGTTGAGTAAAGTATCATAAATAGTAGGCTAAAATACTAAAATTATATGGATGCTGCATTGATTCCCCACATAATGGTTTGGAGAGAACATGTAGCCCAGAGATAATACACATGTCTAAGTGCCGATGAACTTTTGTTTCTACTGGTGCTTGATTTGTTTAGGCACCTGTTCCCCACATAATGACTGTTTGGCTCAAAATCTAGTACTCCACTCTTCTATTATTCTCTTATTATAATTAAATCAGCTACATGTTCATTATATTTTTAATTCGTAATTATTTTCTGAAGTCTGTTGTTTTTCCTGATTTTTTTTCTTTTACCAGGTTGAAATAATTAAACAAGGTTATCTCTTTAAGCGTTCTGAAAATTTACGAGGAGAATGGAAGAGGAGGTATTTTGTTCTTGACAGCCATGGGACTCTGTACTACTATGGGAACAAGGGAAATAAACAATTGGTATGGTTAGCAATTTGATCATGGCTTGTTGGTCTATTTAAAACTTGGCACACTAAGTATCCTGAGCTCTCACCTTTTGCTTGCGTGAGTTGGTAGACTTATGTTTTGTAGAAATATATGTTTTGTGTTATTCATAGTTATAATTGATTTTTCATTGTAATTCATCTATATTTGTAATAAATATTATGTTTTCTACTCCCTCCGTTTCTGAATATAAGCCCTTTTAGTGTATGGACTGCATACGGATGTATATAGACATATTTTAGAGTGTAGATTCACTCATTTTGCTCCGTATGTAGTCCATATTGGAATCTCTAAAAAGGCTTATATGTAGGAACGGAGCGAGTAGTTATCTAATCCTTGATCACGGTTTTCATCACTCTTACTTACTTGCCATTTTCCTCTTTCAATTAGAATATGACCTATTTGTTTATGTTTGGTGATTAATCATTCTCTGTGTGGAAGGTATCAGACTGATGCATATTTTTCCCATCAAGTGAATTAATTTTAAAAACGAGTTACAGTGGGGATCTTTCCCACTGTCTTTTGCTAAAAAATGTGGATTAATTTTCCAAGGGCTATGTCACTACAGTGCAATTTGTGCTCTGCAAAATTTCTGCGCAATTGATGATTATAGTGGGGATATGATATGTGCGGTGTTTGAGAAGTTATGCCATAAATGTGTTACTCCCTCTGTTCACTTTTATAAGACGTTTTAGACAGCTTAAATTGAACTGTTTTGAGTGTTGTCTTAAATGTCTAAACGGTCTTACAAAAGTGAACGGAGGGAGTATATAATTCACCCTAAGCAGTTGTTATTTGTTATTTATTGTATACTTACCTTGTTTTGTTCTTTGGAAGCAAGGAGTGGCATCACAGCAAACTGCTGAACCGGCTGGTGTATTTAGTCGCTTCAGATTCTTAAATCAAAAAGCTTCATCCCAGGGGGATGATTCTCTTTCATGTCGTACAATTAATCTCAGAACTTCAACAATTAAGATGGATGCTGAAGAAAATGATTTAAGATTTTGCTTCAGAGTAATCACCCCCATGAAGGCATACACTTTACAGGTAATTGTAACTGTTACCCCTTAAACGTTCTGTATATAGCACAAATTTTACGGTTTGAAGAAAAACAGTGTTTTGAAATGTCAGAAGAAAAACACATTGTTATGAACTTATGATATTCATTTTTTGAACAGTGATGCCATATGTTTCTTGAGACCCAATTTTCACTTTGTTGATGGCAGGCGGAGACAGAGGCTGACCAAAAGGACTGGATCGAAAAAATAACAGGAGTTATTGCATCACTGCTGAATTCACCATTCCCGCATCAGGTTTGCTCCGGTCTTCTCTTTTGTTGCATTCTACAGAAACACTTGGTTAGCTGTATCAAAATCTATCTAAAAAAACCCGCTTAACTGTTTGGTATCAAACTTCAGATATCTTATTGCAGCATCTGCTTTTCATAATCATGTTATACATTACTAGTGCTTGTCCTGCCTTAAGATTGGCTCCATTTTAGTGCAATTGCATGCATGCGAAAAACAGTCTTCTTCAAGAGAGTAAATTACATAAAACCACCACATGTGGGGCAACCTTCAAGCATAACCGCCACTTTTGGGAAAAATTTGCTAAGAGCACTACTTCTGGGACAGGAAGTGAAAAGTAACACTGAAGATCGGTTCAATGGTTTAGACAGCAATTCTGGCATGCTGGGCCTGCATGTAAGAGCTGACGTGGCTTAGCTTACGAAGACGCTATGTTGAGGTGGATGTGGGGCCAACTTGTTAGCTCTCATCTTCTTTCCAGCCTCTTCTCTGTCCTGCTTCTGAGCCTCTGCCCTCTCCTCCCGAGTGAGCGCCATCATCACCGGCGTTCCGGCCATGCTGAGCCACTCCACGTAACACAGGAGCTCCACCACGAAACCAAGAGGAAGTGACGTCAGCCAAATTTGAAGCCCCGCCGCCGTCTCCATCGTTGGAATTTGCCTTCTCGTTCCAAATTCCGACCGTGGCATCCACACCATGATCTCCTTCTCTGGTGTGTATTAGGACGATTCGCATACATAATCTCTCTCCTTCACGCTCCGCCGTCGCTACCCTCGACCAATTTAATGATTCCACAGTTGTAGCCTGCTCCTGTGCATGACTGGCATCACATCGACTCCTGGTCCCATTTAGCCATCTGTGGGGTTCCCGTGCATGGCTGGCATCGCATCGGCTCCTGGTCCCAAGAGTGGTGGTTATGTTTGAAGGCTGTCCTAAGTGTAGTAGTTTTACGTAGTTCACCAATTTCAAGTTAGTACTGTACTAATTTTATCCTTATTTCATCTCATTTCAGCCGCCATACGGGAGCCTAGCAGCAGAAAGACATGGTTCTGCAAGTTCCCTTGATTCTGCTGCATCTCTTGAAGAGAGCAAAACTTCAGAGGCACACAGTGATGCAATAAACCATCTCAGGAATATCCCTGGAAACGACAGTTGTGCAGAATGTCGTTCTCCAGATCCTGACTGGGCATCTCTAAACTTGGGTATTCTTATTTGCATTGAGTGCTCAGGGGCTCACAGGAATCTGGGAGTCCATATTTCAAAGGTGCAATATCCAGTTCTTTATTTTTAGCACATTTACTTTTTCTGGCACCTTATTTACGTTACAACTGGGTTGGCTCTGTCATCCCCAAAAAGATTGTACTTGAAATGATTGGAGTTATTAACTTAGTGACAGTGCTAGTGTAAAGCTGTAAAATAGGAGCGTAATACTGTCCACTGCCACTGATCACTATTGAACATGGTTGATATAACTCTGTGTGGACTATGGGCTGCCTTTTGCTGCAATGTTAGTACTTGGTATCCTGTCAAAGTATCTTTATGAACTGAAGGATCTAGATTCTTTTGGTTCACCAGAACATAAAGCGATGATCTGTCCTTTTTTCCTCGATTGATCTGTCTTCTCGATCGATCATTACCTTCCTGTAGTTGCAGTCCGATTCCGAATTCTGAAACTGCTGGTACTGGACGTAATAATGAATTGTACTTGCCACTTAGGCCAACTCCGACCTAGGAATATGTTTTCATACCATGTATATTATATAAATATAATATTATATGATTCTATACTTGGTCGAACTTAATGTAGTTTGACTTAGGAAAAAACTAGAACTTGAAGTAATTTGGAATGGAGGGAGTATTTGTTAATGGGTATAAGATCTTCAGAACTATGCGAATACGCCAATGTTTGCTGTATATGATATTTTGCGGGCTTGTGATATATAGGGTTTTAATAGTCTTTTGATTTAGAGATTATACCATATCAAGGTCAATATTTCAACGGTGCAGCTGATGTTCTTATTTGATGTAGGTTCGGTCCTTGAGATTGGATGTGAAAATATGGGAGCCAGTAATTATTGATTTGTTTCGTGCACTTGGAAATGATTACAATAATTCCATTTGGGAAGCTTTGCTTCCGAAAGAAGGTCAAGGGTATGTTCAAGCAATATACGTATCGTGTTAACTAGTTCTTCTACTCAAGTTTTAAGCATTTCTCGTCCTAGCTACATCCCTCTTCTAAACATCGATAAGCTGTGGCAGATGACTGTTATACCAGCTGACAAATTTGGGCTAAACAGACCATGTGTACCTGTACAGATTGTTTGTACTTCTACATGTACCGTTTACAATTATTTGAGCTTTCTGGAAGTCTGGAACTCGTTTATACTTAGGATTGAATTTCCAATGAATTTTCAGTGTGCACTGAAATTCATTATGTGACAGGGCGCTCAATGGTTACCCTGATATGTTGGGGAGTCGCGGTGTCAGCATCCTGATACGTATCCAGTACTGATTCGCCCTGATGTGTATGGAGAAGTGTTGGAATAATTCTTTTCGAGAACATAGTTATAGGAATAGTTTTCTTTTGGCAAAGGGAAAATACTTTTCATACTCCGTCAATACTCGGCTACACACTCTGATACGCCATCTCCCTCATTGGGTGAGCGAAAAGCCATTGATTGGAGGGATTAGTTGTGTTGCTATTGATCGAGGCCAACAATGGGGCAGAGTTCCAGAGGTGTTGGTGCTTTACCAAGCAGGCGCGGTGTGGCCACCAACCAGATCTGGGTGTGTCTGTGTGTGGAGGAGGGATAGGATGGGGATAGTGGAAGCTTGTGAAGGTGCTTTCTACTTTGTAAATGCTAATAATACTTATTTACTTGGGCAATGATATTACTCAGGGTCCTCATCTATGGGTTTGAGTCTAGTCTTATTGGCTTTATTATTCTTATTATCTTCTGCTTCCTCTGTAAACTAGTATAGGACGTTTTCTAAAACATCCTAGATTAGTTTACAGAGGGAGTACCAATTAATCTTTCAATTTGATACTGCATCGAACATATATTTATACTCTTATAAAAATCGGAGTTGGTGGCGGTCCATTCACCCTCAGAGACTACATTACGTCGCCAAGAAATTAATTGCCACAATTATCATACATTATATGTAGTACACAGATGTATCACGGTTGATATTTTGTATGTATATTTTGAGATATTTTTCATTTGCTAAAGATTAGGTACTACGACGACACAACCGTTTAAACAATTCATGCAATAAAAACAAACTTTCTTTTACAGTAAAACAGTAGGGTAACCCCTATGTATATTTTTATAAATAAAGGGGGAAATATTAACAGGGTTACATGAGCAGTTAGCCCATATGCAACTAGTTTACAAGCCCAAAATGGCCACACTTATTGAAGGGACTCTAGCCAAGCAGTAAAGAAGAGGCTTGAAGAGGGGCCTTAAAAATAAGCTTCTTAGCAATGCATGAGCAATTAACTCCCGTAGCAGTGCAATTAACTTCCATAACGACACACGAGTATTTAGTAGTTTCTATATATTAAAGAGTGTTGGGTACTACTCCCTCCGTTCCACAATATAAGACGTTTCTGCAAGTAGCTTGCAAAAACGTCTTATATTGTGGAACGGAGGGAGTAGTAGTTTCAGGCGTGCAGTGACTTATTGTGTAATATTATTTACATCCATGCAGAATGGATGAGTCAAATAGCACTATCCTGTTCATGGAAAAGCCTAAACCTACTGATGCTTTCTCAATAAAGGAAAGGTTCATACAATCAAAGGTAAGCTCTTCTGTGCTGTCTGTGCGACTAAGCCTAGTAGCATGTTCTCAGTAGCTAATATATGACCGGTTGGGCATGTGCTGATTGAAATTTCCAAAAGGCAATCTTTCTGTGTTTATGAGCATTTGCACTAGTGGTTATTCTGCTTAGTGTCGGTTATTTTAGTTTGTAAAACTTCTGGGCTTTAGTGAGACAATCATCCAGTATATTGTTAGAGGAGCTTAGCAGCCTGATATGGTAGCATAAGATTTCTGGAACTAGTATCCACAAAATATCATATTGAGAGGTGTCAAAAAAAAAATCATATTGAGATCAATCGTGTTATTAAGTTTGACATCCAGTGTTTGCAGAATGTAGTTAGCAAAATTTGTACAGACCATGGGGATCCTTGTATGATGTAAGTATCCTTTGGGTATACCTACCTTACAGGCGAAGGCAAAGTTCAGTTAGTAACCTGACTCCTGGTACCTCAGTTACCTAGCATTCGGGCAAAAGAACGCCAAATTTAAATTCCAGTTCGTTACTACATTTGAACACACCCCCCCTCCCACCACCATCGAATCTGGGTGACCCTCTTACCTTTTGGACGCTGGTTTTCCCTGCTTGGGTAGTAGACAACCAAATTGATCTTATGGCTGTTTGACTATAATCTTTGAGTTGAAATCGACAAGTTACATCATAATGAATGTAATGGCTGACTAGAAACTTCAAGCTTTCATGGCGAGTCTGTATCCAATGAAGTAATGCTGGCTGCCACACCCTCATCTCCCTGCAGATACTTTGGACTTTTGGGGATTAATAATATTTTGCTTCATGTATGAATTATAATATTGAGTATAGTGTTGTTCCTCCAGCAGTTTTCACTATTCAGCCGATCAACTTCTGTATGTTATTTCATAATTCATTCTCATAATGATCTGTGCAGTACGTGGACAAACTTCTTATTGCCAAAGACACCAATCAAATTACCATTGGTATACTGGAAGCTATAAGGACAAATGATGTGAGAGCAGTGTATCACATTCTTGTGTTGGCTGATGCAAGCCCTAACATGACATATGATGAGTTGAACAACGATGTTAACCATGTTCTACCGGTAACAGACAGGAAATTATTTGATCCAGCCTCTTGTGAGAAAATAGAGGATTCTGGGAAACCAGAAGGTTGTCTGCAAGGCTGCTCCTTATTGCACTTGGCATGTCAACATGGTCATCCTGTACTAGTTGAGCTTCTGCTACTTTTGGGCGCGGATATTAATAAGCAGGATTTCCATGGACGGACACCATTGCACCATTGTGTCCAAAAGAGTAATGATGCCCTTACCAAACATCTACTGAAGAGGTAAGGTTTGAATTTCTGCTGTATAGTTGTCTGTTAATTGTATTTCAATATATTCAGTGCTTGGAGATATAATATAATGCTTGCTCATGCCAAGAGCTCCCTGTTTCCACTTAAGTACAGAATGTTTCAGAAGTACACTGATTTCTTTACAAGAAGACTGTACTTGTCTCTCTCAAAAAAGATTGGTTGGCTTTTTCATTTCATTCACCGTAATAACTAGACATTGAGAAATTTAGACACAGATATGATACTTGGAATCATTGAAGTTTCTATCATCCTGTGTCGAGGTTCACCGATCACTGTAAAAAGCAACCATGATAGTTTTTTGTCATCTTAGTAGAAAGACTTCATATGCCATCTTCAATCAACAATATAGTCAATCACACCAATATAGTGGCCACCATACCGCTGTGCCTCCAGTAGGTCAGGTGACAGTGAGTGTGTATAGTGGTTTCATTTGCTTCTTGTGTGGTTTTAATTGGTGTCTGTTCCAGATCACATATGATAAATTTCAACAGACTAGTACAAATTGTGGAAGCAGTATGCAGAACACATTCTATTTTTCTTCTTATTATTACTATGATGTTCTGTGAATATCCTCTCGTTTCCCTTCGGAGAACATGAAAACAATAAATTATGAGTCCATTTTTGTGTCAGTAGTTTTATTTTAAGGATCCGAATATCCAGCGAACATCAGATTTTTAGACATGGCAAATCGAAAAAATTTCATGGCAAATTATGTTCGTCGAGGATGGCAAGTTTAGTTGTGGAGCATGGCAAATCCGTCTCAGTTTATTTTTTGCCAGAAAATTGCCGTGCTTGCGAACTAAATCTGCCGTCCGTTTGATTGCCATGCTGAAAATCTGACGTCAGATTTCTAGCATTTCCGTATTTTAATTGGGCCCCCTTCTTCACAGGGGTGCAAGAACAACAATTAAAGATGGTGGGGGCCTGACTGCTTTGGAGAGAAGAATGGAGCTTGGAGCAATAACAGATGAAGAATTGTTCATATTATTTGTGAGGTATGACCGACAGTAGGGTTCAAAAGCCTCAAGTACTCGCGCCATTTGGGTGTTTTACTGTTTCCAGAACTTCAAACTGAACTCAAGTTATTATATTTTGATGATCTCTAGGAAGTAAAAAGTACATATATTTAGGGAAAGATGGGGATCAAACATCAGCAATTAAACGTGGAACCAACATTTCTCTATATGAAATTAATCTGAGCGGGTTCTCCGTGTTCAGCAAAAAACCATCAATTATTTTTAGTCCCCTAGCTTGCTCATAATTATTACTCCATTAACTGAACAAGTGAAAAGAGTATTTGTTTAACAAAAGCGTCCTCTATGGGGCATAAGGTTGATGGCATTCAACTTCCATGGGCTCAATGATCTGTTGTTTTCCTACATCAACTGAACCTGTTTGAATATAGTTTGCATCACTAATTGAGTCACTGTGATCAACTTGGTTAGAGAACATGTGGATTTGAATAAATTACGTGTGCAGGTGATTGCTGAACCATACTAGGTTGTACCGCTGTAGCCTTAGCAAGCAAAGCTCGTCTGTATCTGAAGGGGTCGTGCCACCTGTTTTAGCTTCTTTCTACACTTGTACATCGGAAGACAAGACAAACTTACTGGAGATTACTGTATCTGACCTTTGCACTGGGTCGCTCCTTTGTATTACAACTATAGGCTAGTGGTCTAGCATACATGCATTATTACATTTATTTATTCGTATACGATGATTACTCGAGTTTGTATGATTCCCCTGTTGTGAAGCATATCATACTATACTATATATACATTTGGGCAATTGTAAGCCCGTTTTATCTTGCGTCATCGTGCTGATTTGCAATTGTATTTGGTGTTCTGAATCTTAGTGATCAGTTGTTCGCCGCTGTTCTTAATGGCATCACATGGTTAAAAAGTTGCACTAGCGTAAATTCATAGTTATCCCTCCGTAATGATCTCGCCTAAGCAGTGTTTAGGCCTAGGCGTTCTGCTGTCGCCTCACACCACAAGTTAGCTATACAAAAACCACTAAGGATATTCTCCCTCTGTTCACAAATATAAGGTGTTTTGGATATTTCAATATAGGCTACATACACGAGTGGACAAACACACTAAAATATACTCCTATCTATATGCATCTGGTTCACAAAAAAGTTAGAACATCTTATATTTGTACAGAGGGAGTACAAAAATAAGGTTATAATTTCTAACTAAACTAATCTGAGCTGCTCATCTAGCACGTAGAAGCCACTGTATGGAAGAGTAAACGACCTTGGCGGTTTTGTACGCCAGTCTTGCAGTGAGGTAGAACACTGAGGGACCATGCCGGTACTTGGTAAACAGATCCTTGAAAGGTCATAAACATCCTCGTTATCATGGCTTCTTTGACAATGGTTCGGGTGCAGTGGGTGCTGTTGTCCGCAATGAGAGGGGAGAAGCTGTGGCTGGAGGGGTGAGAGAATTGCTAATGTGTTGAGTCCAGCTTCAGCGGAGGCAATGGCTCTGTTAAAAGGGTTGGTCCTTGTTGAACAGTTGGGCTGCTCCCCGGTTACCGTCGAATCTGATTCTCTGAAACTTGTCCAGCTCTGGAATGGTATGACAGAAGTTCTGAGCCGGCAATTATGGCCGAGTGCTTTGCGATTACGCACCGGCTGGATCATGTTTCTCTCAAACACTGCTCAAGGGATGCTAATAAGGTGGCTCACATTATAGCTAAGCGTGCTTTTATCAAACTGGCGATCCTCCGAATTTATAATGCCTACTGTAGTTAGCGATGTAACAGTCCCATTTGCTTAATAAAGAGCCACATGACATTCCTTTCGAAAAGAAAAAAAACATCCTCGTTATCATGGCTGTTGCCGATGAAGCAGGCAGATAAGTCATCGTCCAAGGTGTACTGTGTTGCCTAGACTGATCAAAAGATTGAATCATAGGATAAACCAGACGTCAAAACTGTAGTGTAAAGGAAGAGATAAGGTTTGAATCGCACATTGACTTTGCCATCGAATCTTGTGCTCCATCAAAGTCAATACACAGTTAGCATGGAGTGCCTTCAATCAAGTGACTCATGTAGCCTCAACCAATACATTAACCAAATGATTACATACATAGTCCCTCTGTCCAAAATAATGTTGTTGAGGCAGGATTAATTTCACAGCACAGGAACAAGGACGCGACCTAAACCGAAACAGCCCCCCGCGCCGCTCCCTCCCCGGGGCGACACGGGCGGCTCCCGCCTCCGCCTCCGCACCTCTCTCCTCCCGCCTCCTTCTCCCCCTCGCCGTCGCCGGTTGCCTCCGGCAGGCAAAGCCTGCGCGGAGCCGGCGGCGGCGGGGCATCCTCTTGCTGCCGCTCGCTCGTGGGATAGGGATACGACGTGTGGTCGGCGGCTGACCGGCGCTTGGCTCCGGGGCGGCGTCCCAGCTCGCGGTGGAGGAGGTCTCCGGCGCGCTGTGCCGGGATCTGGTCGCGGCGGCGGGCGCGCCACGGGCGAGCGGTCGCGGTCGTGGCGCCCGTACGGGCCCGATCTGGACCTCGCGAGATGTGGCCGACGCGGTCGGTGGTGCTGGGATGGACGGAGGCTCGGCCCCCTGCTGCGCGTCCTGGTGGAGCCCTTGCTGCATTCCTCCTGCTTGGTGTCGTGGTGGTGCCTGCTCGAGTTTCGGTTGACGGGCTGCGGATCTGGCAGCTCGTCCGGCGAGTTGGGGTGGGGTGGCGGCCCTCCCTCCCTGCTAGGGATCCTCTCTGGATGTGCAGCGTGCGGCGGCCGCGCGGTGGAGGTCTCCGGTTGTCGGGGCGGCAGGCGGACGACGCAGTTGGCGCGGATCTGTTCGGAGGTTGCGAAGTGTGAAGGTGGTCAGATCCAGCCGAATTTGCCCTCGGTGGCTCGTTGGAGGGCTTGCCGATGCATGATATTTGGGGCTCGTGAGGTTGACCCGGGCGAAAGCTTGTCTCCGGTGTGTCCGGAGCCGGCGATGGAGACGCTTTCAAGCGTCGTTTCCTTCTTGTTGGCATCGTCGAGGTACTCTCAGTTTCAATCTTCGCAGCTTTGGGGGAAACCCTAGATCCATGGGATCGGACGATGACGGTGCTCTAGCATCATATCCCCTCTCGAGGGCTTCGTCTTTGGAGCTAGCATCATCAAGCGGGACCGATGGAAGTTGGTGGTGTTTTGCGTCGAGGCTTCTGTGGCAAGGATGATGGGCGTGTGCAATGTCAGAGACGCGACAATGGTTGCGGTAGTCGGCTCTTCTCCGGCATGTTTGTGGGATTACCTCGGGTTGTTTTGTTGCCGTGAAGTCGGAGCTGCAGCGGCGGGGCCTCTATGGCGACGATGACAGGCAGCAGGTGGTCTGTTCGGTGGTCTTCCGCGGCGCCAGCCTTGCATAGTTCTCCTTCGAAGCTATCTTTCAGAGTCGGAGCTGTGATGTCCTTGTGTGGGTGGCTGAGTTTGGCGCGGGGTTTCTTGTGTTCCACACAGCCTCTACAGTGTGGGTTGGGCGACATTTGTCTTCGGAGAAGTCAGAGTCGCTTTCTCGGAGATTAGGGAGGGCGATGACGCCTATTGGGGAGAAGTGATGACGATGACACCGGTGGGTGATGTTGACGAAACCCTCTATATGAGGTGTATGTGGTATTATGTGTGTGCCGCTCAGCGGTTTGTTACGGTTTTCGTTCGGTTTTCCGTTTATTAACCGGACAACTCTCTTCTGCTTTACTAATGAGATGGGGCAAAGCTTTTGCCTCCGTTTCAAAAAAAAATGTTGAAGTATGGGGTGGGCTTTAGGCCCATCTAACAATTTCGGAAAAATCTCTAAGGGCCCATGTAGGTGTCATGACAAGGGGTGTGGGAAGTTTAGTCCCACCTTGCTATTAGAGAGGAGTTGGACCTCCTTATAAGAGTTTCTCTTCCATATGCTATTGGAGTTTGAGGAGAGAAGAGGCCCTCTTGCGCTCCTCCCCTGCCGCACGCCCTCTCCAGATCTTGTACGGGAGAGGCGGAAACATCATGCATTTGGGTACGGTAATTTATTTACTGTTTTCCAGTGTTTCAGCCCACCGATTGGTAGGTGGACACATGTGTGTGCTGATTGTTTTCTTCTTACCAGGTCACAGGCCACGGGTCAACATGCCCCCGCCATCAAGAAGAACCTTGTTAGTGGCTCCCTTCTATGTAGAGAAGGGTTTAAGTTGGTCTTTGAGTCTAATAAATTAATTGTTACTAAATATGAACTATTTGTTGAAAAATGTTATGAGAGCGGAGGGATGTTCCGCCTTCCCCTTGCAGAATTTTGTAATAAAGTCATGAACCATATTCATTCGAGTGTTAATCACTAGTACAATAAGGTGCTATACAAACGGTTTTTAACCCCTTTCCACGATGACATTCTGAATCATCACGGAGTGAGTGTGTGCGATAGGGGGGGTCCTTTCCACACGACTCAGAAACCGTCGGGGATAGGCCCTCCTGACACACATGCTCGGCAAAATGAGGTCGTGTGCGACGGGCGAGCGATCAAATACGGTTATACATACAATTGTGCTAAAAAAATATAATTATACATGCCAAATCGTTTCCGTTCGTAAGTACATCTCACACAGTCAGTCCCGGCTAAACGTTTCTGTTCGTATGTACATCCCACACGGTCAATCCAAGGAATACGTTTCCGTTCGTATATACATCCCACATAGTCACTCAGAGGAAAACACTTCCGTTTGCAGGTACATCACACACAATTTACCCCACTAAATCGTTTATGATAATGTTGCCATTGCAGACGATATTAACAATTTTATCGTTTGCGTTATTGAACACATCACACACGGTACGCATAATAAACTGTGTGACAAAGGCTATCCATCACACACACTTTTATGTGGTAAACGTTTGCGCAAGGTGGCCTAATCCAAACAATTTTCAAGAGGATGTCGTGTGTGATTGTTAGAAACTGTGTGCGTTGCCTGAGGTCATCGCCCATGGTGTTTTCTCAATAATCATTTGCAATAGAAAAACTCAATTAGCAGGCTAATTGTCCTATTTTTAATAATCCATTTATTAATCTAATTGACTTTTCGTATTAAGCACACAATATATTTCATTTTCATATTAAGGAAGCATGATTTCATAATTTAAATACATCAGAGTACAACATCACATAGCTTCAGCACTCAGCTACCCCATTACACAACTGCACCAGCACCAAGTTTCACATGCAATATCTATAACCTTTCAAAATTAGCATCAGAGATGGTACGTAAACAAATGAATCTTATCTGGAAAATTGCTGAAGCGGAAGGCGAATATTGAGCCTTCATTGATGTTGAAGGTCTTTGCAACTTTAGGCCAGTGCTTGTGGATGATTGACTGTCCATTTTTTGTCCTCTTCAGGAACACTTCAATATTGAACCATGGGTGTTGTATGAATACCTTCCTCGCCTCCTGACCATACATGGTTTGAGAGGTAATCATCAGTGAACTGCTTTGAAAAGGCCTAAGAACAAGGATGTGCGTAAATATCTTCTGTATATTAAAAATGGGGCAAAAGAATAAAAATGGCAAGATATAATAGTTAGTACCATCCTGTAGTGAACTGGTGTCTTCTTCATTATGCAGCCAAACATCTTGTTGTCTTTTGTCGCTAATTTCTTTATCCTAACAATCTTTTTGAGTTTCTTGACTTGACTG